AACGATGGACTTCGTGCCGATTCCTTAGGATGATCCTTAGGAATGAATGTGTAACGCCCGTAGATCCGGGCTACTCAATTTAGAGACGATAAGCATCAAAAACGACTTTTTGATGGAAGATTATTTAGAAGGAGCAATCTTAACTAAGTTGTAGTATATGTTACAAGGTTTCCGTACATATAAAGAACGCCAAAATCCGAGTTATAACGAAGAAGTTATGATCTGTCGAAGTTTCGCGACAGAACCGGCACGACACAGCGCGACGTAAATAGTGAATTTACGTTAGAGCGATATTTGGCCTTAGCGATCTAAATGAAAGTCGTAGAATTAGTTAAACCGAGAGCGTGCATAAAAAGAACGCCCAAATCTGACTTCGTATGAGGAAGTTATGATTTTTCCGAAGTTTCGACTTAGCAGTGTGCAGCCCGAATACTCGATTTGAGATCGAGCGCTTTTTAGCCGAAACAATCTAAATGAGAATCGAAGATCTCGTCAATGGTAGTGCAACGGTAAAAAGACAGACGAAAACGGACGTCGGATGAAGAAGTTATGAATTTATAACGGAGTTTTCCTGTCCCGGCCTACTAAAAATAATATAATAAAAATAAAGTCAAAGTTAGCCAACGGAGTCTAAACGAGAGTTGTAGAGCATAATCTCACCTACGCGTGGATATAAAGAACGTCAAAAACGGAGCTCGTATGCAAAAGTTATGAATTTCTAAAGTTCGGGGCGTGAACCCCAAGGCTGTGTCAGAGCTCACGAGGTGAGCCAGTTCACGAGGTGAGCATTAGTGACTCACGAGGTGAACAGATGATGGACGTCTTCCAGGGCAAGTGGCCGTGACAAACGCAATGACGTATCGAGCTCACGAGGTGAATATTAGAAACTCACGAGGTGAGCCAGTTCACGAGGTGAGCCAGTTCACGAGGTGAATATTAGAAACTCACGAGGTGAACTCAGAAAATTCACCCTATAAATAGAAATCGAGGGTCAGCCGAGTTTGGTTGCTCATCTCTTACTCTCCCACTCCCGATACTCTCTCTCTAAGCCCTATTTTAACCCCCCGAAGCCTCAGTATCATCCCGAGACCCGAAGCAAGTCCCGAAGCCCGAAGATCCCGAGAAGAAAAGAGTTTCCGAGCCGAAGCTCTGCCTGCGAGAAGCCCGGTGTGTGAAGATCTTCTAGTTTCACCGAAGAAATACTACTCTTAGAGCCGTAGTGCTGTCCGATCATCTTCTGATCAAGTGAGTGTATAGTTACTTTCTTCTAACGCATAAATATTAAGTATTTGCTATGAAATACGTGTTATGTGTTTATATATATATATATATATATATATATATATATATATTGTTGTTTATATGTGTGAGTGTATAGTCCCTTTCATAAACACGATTTTAATACAAGTATTGTTTGAATGTATTAAGTATATGTTTTGGATGAGTGTGTAGTCACTTTCTTCTAACACATAAATATGAAGTATTTGCTATGAAATACGTGCTATGTGTTTATATATTGTTGATTATTTGAGATGGGTGTGGAATGGATGTTTTATATAGGTTTTAAATGAGTTAAACTGTATATTATTTTATATCTACAAATATGTTGAGTAGAACATGGGTAGACGAAATAGTTGGTGTATGATGAAGGATGAGTTTGAGGATGAGACGAAAGATAAACCTCGGTAGCTATGGATTTAGTACTGTAAAGATAAACCTCGGTAGCTATGGATTTAGTACTGTATAGATGAACCTTGGTAGCTATGGATTTAGTACCGTATAGACTAATGCTGGTAGCTATGGATTTAGTACTGTTAGATAGACGATGATAGCTATGGACTTAGTACCTACACTGGTAGCTATGGATTTAGTACCCGATGAATGAACCATAGCAGCTATGGAATTAGTGCCTAATAAAGAATCCTGGCAGCTATTGTCTTAGTGCCTAATAAAGAATCCTGGCAGCTATTGTCTTAGTGCCAAATAAAGAATCCTGGCAGCTATTGTCTTAGTGCCTAATAAAGAATCCTGGCAACTATTGTCTTAGTGCATAATAAAGAATCCTGGCAGCTATTGTCTTAGTGCCAAATAAAGAATCCTGACAGCTATTGTCTTAGTGCCTAATAAAGAATCCGGGCAGCTATTGTCTTAGTGCCTAATACGGAGTGAACGAATAGATGACTCTTAGGGTAGACCCTTAAGAGTAAGGAAGATAATGGGGATGGGTAATTGGGTTGATTGTTTGATGATTGAATATAATAATTATATTATTGTGGGTTGAAAACCCTATATGCTCACCAGGCTCCCAAGCCTGACCCACTCAGTTTTCTTTGCATTACAGGTAATGGTACAAGAGTATAAGTTGGTGGACTTGACGAGAGATTTTGGATTATAGATCAGCAGTTATAAATGACTGTTGTAAGGTCTATTTTATACTGTTTATGCTTTTGGTCTGTATCGGAACATGACATCTCGAGATTTTGTTATTTAATGAAAATACATTTCTTTAAAGAAATGTTTTGATAAATTCTAATCACATTTTGTTTTGGGAACAAATTCTGCAACTGATTTCTTTAAAAGATTACTCTGATTTAAAAAAAAAAGCATAAACAAATCGGTCTTTTCTGGCCGTGAAATTGGGGATGTCACAGAATGAACGAGGAATAGCTGATTCTTAGGGTAGATCCTTAAGAGTAAAGAAGATAATTGGGATGGGTAATTGGGTTGATTGTTTGATGTTTAAACATAATAATTATATTATTGTGGGTTGAAAAACCTATGTACTCACCAGGTTTCCCAACCTGACCCACTCAGTTTATTTGAATCACAGGTGTCAATATGAAGTTACATTACATCGAGAGATTAAGGAGATATAAATCACTAGTGATAATGAATGTAAGTTCTGTTTATGCTTATGTTTCTGTATTGACGATGACATCCCAATGTTTTAAAATGAATAAAATACATTTCTTCGGAAATTATTTGATAACGTCTTTATCATGTTTTTTTTGGGAACAAATTCCGCAACATTTTTATTAAAAAGGGTACTCTGATTTTTATAAAGCGTAAACAAAAAAATCGGTCTTATCTGGCAGTGAAAATGGGGATGTCACATGAAATGCGATGTAGTTCGTTGGTGGTCTGGTGCTCCATTGCTGAAAGACATTGTTATTTGATTTGACTATGGAGTTAGGGATTTAAAGGAAGACGATGGTCCTCAAAGATTCGACTGGTGATGATGAATGTTCAGTTGTAGTTGTTTCGACTTTTGGAGGTTCAGAGAAGGCTACTTTGGTAATAATGCACTATCATGATCTCACTATTCAAACTATTCAAATATATTCCATTCTTTTAATCAAATGTATCCATTATTTACGAATGTATTCTCAATTAAACAGAAAACTTTGGTAGAAACATCTACTGTGCTACTCAACAGTGTACGTTAGGTAAAGGTTTCTTTTCAACACTTTCAACCCCGTTTTTCACTTTGCATTGTGTTCCATCATAACAACAGTATAAACCTCCCACATAATTTGGTTTTAAAGGTCGACAATATTCATCCACTTTCACAATTTACAAGTTACATATGCATCAACAAATCCATCACAAAAAAACTCATCAAAACCTTTTAAAGATAACTAAGGGGTGGCTTTTTTTAACTTCTATGATTGTTTCTTTTAGTACATGATATATACATGCATTCAATACATCTAATTTCATCTGTTGCACCTTGAATATCAATTGGATGAACATTAAACAACCATTTCTCTTCATATCCGATAGGACCTTCAAGTAGATTACCCACTTCAATTCCATAAGGATCGGGAACATGTGTATTTGTATTTCGTTTTTCAGATCCCAAACCAAGATTGATTTGGGATTTACTTCAAAGTTAACTTTACCGGTCATACCTTTTGATGTCTTTAGAGTTTTAAATTCTTTTTCCTCCGAAAGCTAAATCAATGTCACTTTCAAAGCTTTAAAGCAACTCTTTTTTGACATCCAAAGTCAAAACGTAGCTTTTTGGTAAAGATGGGGAGTAATCTTGTATCGATATCATCTGGATTACACATGTTATTTGAAATTGTTTTGGTGATAGCATTAGTTGTTTAGTAATTGAAGTCAGGGATGATATAAAAAAGTTATCTCTGCAATCTAGGGTTTGCATAATATCACATTTTACTTTCTGCTACTTGATTTACATTAAAGTGAATAAATGATGGAACCTAACCTGCATTGATATATTTGTATATGGACAGATGACAACTGTAATGCCAATTGTTCAAGACCAGTTTTCTGGAGCACGATGTCAGAAGAGGACCTCTACAGGTCAACTAGTCAACTGTCTAGTCATTGTAGTCAAGAAACATTTGTCGACCATGATAGGGCCTCTGTACCAGAGGCTAAACAATCCTAAAGAAATTCTAGGAAATCATTTAGATGCAATGGAAGTAGTTTTATAAGGTCACCAGCACCACATATGGAAGCTTCCATCACTACTAGAAAAATACCCTTTAATGACGCGCAAACCATGACACGCGCTGTTTTACGATACACAAAAGTGTGTGCCCTAAAAGTAATGTCAGTTCTTCCAAAATGTGAAGGATTTAGGACGCGCATTTTTGCGTGCCCTAAAATTTGTGTTAAAAAAACAAAAAAAAAACGCGGAGGGCACCTATCTTAAAAAGCGTATCGTGAAATCATGTCGCTTTATATATTTTTTAATGAAACGCGCATCTTCATCTTTAGTAGCAGAGGGAAAAGGAATTCCCAAAAAAAATTAGAAAAGTTGAAAACCCCGCCATGGTGATTTAGGGTTGGTTCCGTCTCCATCTCTCGTTCACTTCCATCTCAACTTTCTCTTCCATCTACAATCTCTCTTTCCAGTGATGAAGGTTTCTCATGATTTTTTGTTGTACTTACAAGCCCTAGGTCCTGATACGTGATGCGTGCGTATCTTGAAATAAGCTGAATCATTAATTGAAATTTTGCAGCGAAGTATGGATCTAAATCAGAAGCGAACCAAAACGGTTGACCGAGTCGATCCGGTTGATCCTGCTGAGGTGTCGCCGGAATCAACTCCGGTGTATCCGTTTCCTGACGAGGTTCTAGAACCGATGCTCTCGCAGATAAACTCTCACAAGGACCGCAGTTCCGTGTCTCTAGTATGTAAAAACTGGTACAACATTGAGCGGTGGAGTAGACGTCATGTGTTTATCGGAAATTGCTACTCGGTGTCGCCAAGGATTGTAGCCGGGAGGTTTCCTCATATTCGGAGCATGAACTTGAAGGGGAAACCGAGGTTTTCAGATTTCAATTTAGTACCGGAGGATTGGGGAGCTGATGTTCATCCATGATTGAGTGTTCTCACCAAAGCGTATCCATTCCTGGAGGAGCTGAGACTGAAGAGAATGACAGTTAGCGACGAGAGTTTGGAGTTTATGGCGACGAACTTTCCAGAGTTTAAAGCTCTGTCTCTATTGAATTGTGTGGATTTAGTCCTGATGGGTTGAAATCTATTGCTACTCATTGCAGGGAAAATTTCTACTTTTCTTCTCAATGTTAGAGCTAAATATGTTCTCCAAGGTGCATCAATCACTTTATTTGTTCAACATTTGTCGTCCCAATTCATATGAATTTGTTAAATTAGGTTTCGTTTGGTGTAAGAGACATAAATCTGATCACTTTACTCTTGTGTTTGATCTTGATGTTATCAGATCACACTAATTTTTTTGTTATTGTTTGAAAATTTTGAAGATCTGTAAGCTTTAAACATCATATCCATTTTGTTGAAGATCTGATACCCTCTTATCTACAGAGCAGTTCCCAGCTGGTACCCTATTTTTCCTTATCTCCTGTGCAAGTTTAAACTGTTCTTTCATTGTGTCTGCTAAAACTTACTGAAGATCACTTCTCTTAAAATATGAATATATTTCCTATATTATATAACAAGTTTGAGGTAGTATAGGTGGCTTTCCTCAAGATCAGGTAGCTCTACAAAGTCACCAATTGAAGAAAAATTTCTGTCACAACAACCTCAAGCTCCAACTGGATGGCCAAATTTTCTGTATGTATGTTCTTTTTTCTCATATGGATCTATTCAGCTCCACTGGTATGAATGGCCACTAAATCAAAGTGGCACATCTGAATGGTTTTGCACAAGCTACTCCAAAGACTAGCACCACCAATCAGATTCATAAAGCTTATGGAAGCTCTGACCGTTTTCCTTCTGCTCATACATGGTAAGATAATCATGTTTCTCTGTCAAATTACCTTTTTGCCCCTAAGTGAGACCGATTTTTCACTTCTATTCACAAATTTAGTATTTTTTGTTGGCTTGAATCAGCTATCTGATATAGAAATAGACAATGTATGTTTAAAAAAAATCAAAAAATGTATAGTCTTTGATGGATTTTTGGTTCATGGCCTTTATTTTACTATTCTACCCCTCAAAGTTTTACTCTTTGATGGATTGAATCAGCTATAAATAAAATCAAAAAACTAGACAAGGCTTGAATCAACTATATTCTTATATTTGTAATCCATAATTTTTCAGCAAATTTGCTTTATTATTTGTTATAAGTAAAATCTTTCTTTTTTAAGGAGTTAAACTATATGTTAACCATTCTATTCTTCCTTCATATAAAATATTTTAATTTTGTAGGTTATATTGTCTCCAGAGGCAGATCCTCCTGTTGTCAAGTTGATGGATTACAAGTAAATTGCATCTCATATTCTAATTTGTAATTTTACTTATCTGTCTTTTAAAATTCCAAATCCTGTTTGATATTTATTACCATTTTCAACAAATTTCGCAGCAAAGTATGAGCAACAAAAGAAGAAATGAGATCAGCAGAAGAAAAGTTCTGGTGAATTTCCAAATTTTCTTAACATTAGTTCATTAATACAAGAAAAATAAAATAAAAAAAATATTGACAGAAATAGATGTAATTTGATGCCAGCTCATCGTGTGGATCAAAAGGAGCTTACATTGTAATTGAAAACAATATAAACTTTTATCTTCATTTTTATTACTAGTTACAACATCGATGTGCATGATTACATTGTGCATTTGAAAGCTGCTCAGAAGTTTCTAAAAGATGGTGACAAGGTTTTTTTAATAATTCATTTGATCTCTCTATTTGTTATTGTGTGTGTGTGTGTTTTTTAATTGAAATGTGATGATTTTTATCATGTACTTTTTGGTAATTTGACAGGTGAAACTAATAGTGAACTTGACGGGACGTGAAAACGAGTTCAAAAATAATGCGATTGATCTTATTAGACGTTTCTGTGATGATGTAGGGGAGGTATGTGTATATGATATGACAAGGGCGTTTACGTCTTTTTGCACAACGTTGTATTTTGAAAAATATAAAAAAAATTTAATGTGCAACTAGAGATTGAGGAGATCAAGAATTTTAGGGACAGGAACATGACATTGGTGTTGGTTCCAAACAAAGTTGTTCTACAACAAAAAGAAACACCAAAGAAGAAAGAAAAGTCAACTGGGACTGAAGTATCTGTAACTGCTTCTGTATCACCATGATTCTAGGATTTGATTTTGATTTTATTCCTCAAATTTTAACAGATTCATGAATTGTGGCTCACCCCTGCAGCTTTCTGAATGCAAGCTTATTTTAGTGCTGGATTAAGTGGAGGTTTCTTGATTCTATCTTTAGCTTCTTTAATGATTCCTGATTTAATGACACTTATGTGTTGTATGGATAAAACAGTAAGTGATGTTTGGATATGAGTAAATGACCGTTTTACCCTTGTATATATACTCATACTATCATTTTCGTGTCAGAGTATTTGGACCAAAATTGGCCTTTACAACACCATGATGTTGTTAATATTTGGTTGGGCATGTTGCTTTTGTGTTTCCCTTTTCTATTATTTCCAATTACATGTACAGAAGTAGGGGTGAGTCATCTCAACACAACACCAGATGAACACACACACAAATTAATCAATCTATTTCTTTTCTATTTTAAATTTTCATTTATCTAACCACAATTTAATAATTTAATTAGTTGGTAATTTGGTGGGCTGGTCTAACCATGAGTTGTCTCTGTTGCATTTGCATTCAAGCAAGTCTTTTTATTTAAACCATTTATTTTAAATTTGTCATTTTTAATCAATTAATTAAAAATCAAGGTCTTTTAATTGTTTTTTTGGTCTAAATGAAGAAGATATAGAGAATTGGAGTTGATTTGATGCTATTTAAAGATGATTAGGTCATTCAAATAGTTTTTGGACATATTTGCCCATGTTGCTGGTGGAAACTAGCTTGTTGTGCAGATAGCCAAGGATTTTAAGGCTCATGTATGCAAATTCGGGGACTTCAATACTCCCACTTTCTTATAAGGTACTTCTAAAGTTTGTTGATTGTTTGATTAATAAAACTTATTTTGTTTCATCTAATGCTTCAAGCCCTTACTTGCCATCCATGCCCGGTGGACAGCCGCCCATGACACCAAGTTTAACATTTTTACCTGGTACACCAGGTGGCAAGCCAATGACACGAAGGATCGGGTTATATAGTTAGGGATGTAGTATCATGTTATATAGTTAGGGAAAACCCCTTAATAACAATGTACAATTAGATCCCCTTAATATCAATGTATTACAATTTTTTGATAACTTGTTTGACATGATGTTATTGGATGAAATTGATTGTTTTGGTATATATTTGCTTATATATTTTTGTATTATGCGTAAATGAGTACCGTAAAGACGCGTCGTAAATGCATATCGGAAATGGTTACTGAAGTTTATGACACGCAAATGCATGTCATCCTCATTTATGACAGGGGCTTCCTTGATACGCATTGTGTGTCATAAACACGCACGTCGTAAGGTTACGACACGCAAATGAGTGTCGTCTTCCTTTATTACAGGGCCTTCCTTGATACGCATTGCGTATCATAATTGCGCGTCGTAAATGCGTGTCATAAATGCGCGTCGTAGATAGACGACGCGCAAAAGCGTGTCGTCTCTCGTTATGACAGGGCCTTCCTTGACACGCATTTGCGCATCGTCTGAGCGTTTTACGACACGCATTGCTCGTCGTAAAATGATGTTTTTTAGTAGTGCATGATTCTAGTTGTAGTAACTGATGCAAATGTTCTACAAAAGGACCAAGGATCTTCTTATCCTGGAAAATACAACATTTCAGGTAAAATAAAATACTACCTTACTAATACTTTAACATTATTTCTATATTTTTTCTCACTTTTTACACTTGAGGCTAAACAGAAAACAACTGTATCTGGGAAACGAACTGATAAGAGAAATGGAAAAGTTCCTAAAAGCAAATGTGATTCTTTTTAGTTCATATGATGATGGAAATAACATACTTGTTATGTATTTTTTGGAAATAAATTATTCTTTGGTAATACACTTTATAAAATGTTATTTGATTTTTGGTCGAGGGTATATAGTTCGAAACATGATATTTTGAATTTGGAAAACATGTAGATGAAGTGTCACTAAATGAGCTTTTTGATGGTAGTTACAAGTGTCCTGATTCCATTAAAGACAAGGAAAAGAGAACATAAGTTCTAAATGGAAGTATTTTACTATCAGTCAAAGAAGCTTGCTCAATTCTTCAACTTTAGAAGTCTGGTCAAACTAGTCAAACCCCAAATATGGCACATGTAGATGGTAATCATAACCATAATGTTTCCTCTTGCTTACCAAATGTTGTAAGCTCTTTAGCGATCATGAATGATGACAATAAAGGAGATGTAGGAGATTCATCTGCTTGTAACAAGGTTAGTTCAAGTTTAATGTTTTTGTTCTAGTGTTGTCTGGTTGAAGTGTAAATTACAAATTTGGTCCCTGTAGTATACTCATTTGTTTTTTTCTGAATAAAAAACGTAAAAATGAATATTGTCTAAATAAATCATATGTGATTGGATACATATAATCACATGTGATTAAACACAAGAGCATAACTATTGAATCGAGAACGCAAAAATGAAATTTGTCAACATAAATCATATGTGATTAGATAATATAATCACATGTGATTATATGTATATAATCACATTTGAATTAAATAGACAACATTCGTTATCACCTTCTCGATTCAATACTTGTTCTTGTGTATTTAATTACATGTGATTTTTGTGCACAAGATTCATTTTCACGTTCTCAAATAAATAGTTGTTCTTTGTCCATATTAATCATACTTTATTAAATACATATAATCTCATGTTATTAAATACATAAGAAAAATTATTGAATTGAAAGCGCGAGAACGAATCTTGTCCATATAAATCATATGTGATTATAAAAGTATAATCACATGTGATTATATACATGGGAACAACTATTGAATCAAGAACGCAGAAATAAATCTTTTTAACATAAATCATATGTGATTAAATACACATAATCATGTGTGATTAAATTAATGAGACCCCCTACTAAATAAAAAACGTGACAAATATAGTCTACATCAATCATATGTGATTGGATACATATAATCACATGTGATTATATGTATCTAATCACATATGATTTATATGGAAAAGATTCATCTTTGCGTTCTCAATTCAATAGTTGTTCTTTATCCACTTTAATCAAATGTGATTAAATACATTTAATCATATGTGATTATATGTATCTAATCACATATGATTTTATGAAAAAAAACAAATCTTTTCCATATAAATTATATGTGATTAAATACGGATAGTCACATGTGATTATATCATTGTTGCAAAAACAGCCTAAGCGGCCTATTAATCACATACGAGAACAGCTATAGAGTCAAACACATAAAAACATTTTTTTCCATATAAATCATATTTGTTTAAAAATATAATTACATGTGATTAAATACACGAGACCAACTATTGAATCATAAATGCAAAAGTAAATATTTTCAAATTAAATCATATGTATGACTCGATGTTTAAAATGATAAATTTTACTGGTATTTGTGGGACGTTACATATAAGGTATACTAGGATGCTCAAGATTGTTCAAGGATGCTCGGATGTTGAAGATGCTTAAGGTGGATGCCCCAAATGACATGATGCACCATTTTGAGGGAGAATGTGCCATCATGATGGAGGATACTCCATCATGATGCGCCATGAGCATTCCTAATGATCCATCTTGGTTCATGATGCTCCATCATGTGTTTTGTTGATACTCATGCAATGTATCTCAATGATGAAGGTTCTAGAAGCGATTATGTGGCAGATTGTAATTGTTTGGCACCTTTCATGAGCCTATGGATTAATAGGCTTGGGTTATTAGGATTTTAGGTTTGATCCCTAGTCTATAAAAAATGATGTGTGCTAGTCATTTGTTCGTGTCTTGACTTCTAGTGAGTAGGCAAATATCTGTTGAATTGTACATGTAACCTCTATTTGAGAACTCATAAATAAAGAATACTCACCTCCTGTCGTAGACGAGCTTGTGGACTTGTGGTTTCGTGTTTTATCCGCGTTACTTCCTAACATAATGGATTTGGAATTTGCATTTTGTAGGATTTGGATTAAAAAAGATTTAAGGTTGATAAAAAAATTGAAATTGTTTGGTATGAAAGAGATTTGAAGTGTATTTAAGATAAATGACAAAAACATTTAATAAAAATCTTATGTTTATTATTTTTGTAACAAACCAATATTAAAACTTTTTTTGATTATGTTGTTTTAGTGATTTAAATATGTTATTATTCCATTAGTTTGTTTTTAAACACCCCCTTTCCAGAAAGAGGGGGGGGGGGGGGAGGGTTGAACATTTAGTAGTTGAGATGCGAAATTCCACATAGAAGATCCAATGTTCAACCTTTGCATGCCCAAATTACTATTATTGATATGTGATTGACCTCGCACATGAGAGTTTATAAGGGTATATATGAGTCGTTCAAATAGTATTGTTTACCATTTTTAACCCCCATCCCTTTACAACTTAACTCATTCGTCAAGGACGGTAATTGGCATTTACAATATTAGAGTTAAATTTCTAGATTTATATTTGTCTGTGTCTTTCGGATTCTATTTGTATTTTCTTCTATTTATACCATTTCTACCGAATCTATTTGGAATGTCAAATTTATTTGGTTCATCCCATGAAAACACATTGGAGTATTATCCATTTGATGATAAGAACTTCTTAATGTATAAGAGCAAAACAATGCTCCATGCAAAAACATAGATTTCAAGATGATGCAAATCATAAATGGGGGATCCATATGAGCCCATTGGTTAATTCCACTAAAAAATAAAATGACATTTAGTGGCATAAAAAATGTGCCACTAAAATACTTGTAGGTTTTAGTGGCACTATTTTTATGACACTATTTAACTGCTAAATTAAATATTATTTTCATGCTTTTAGTAACACATTTTTAACACAACAATATTATATTAATAAATACGTTCCATTTTTTTAATTTTAAATGGAATATAAAACAATAATAAGACAATTAAGATAATAAATAGAAACATAATATCATTGCTTCAATGGTTCAATTCAAACTTGTCTAACAATAATATTCTTAATATTTAAAACACAAATGTCTTAAAAAAATCAATAAGTCTAAATGTTGTGCTAGTATTGTTAACCAAAAAACAAAAATGATATAAAAAAAACGATCCATGAAGCTTCCTTTGAAACACAAATCTCCATGGACTTCCATTTCATTCTCCCTTTCTTGTTTACTTCCTTTGAAACCTGGAATTAGAAAGAATAAAAAATGTTAACAAAAAAAGTTGATCCATGAAGCTATTACTATTTAATTGAGTAAAGTTAAAGAGAGCATTAGAAGAAGACATAAAAATTATGCATACATGAGAGGATTGGGGCAACCGTTACACCGCACATACCATATTGAAACTATACATATCTCAATCAACCAAATTAAACTTTCTAATAAAACATGAATTTTTTTTCTAATTAATAGAATTTTAAGGGTCACATTACTCACATACATGTCTGATTAACTTTCAACCAATTTATAGGAATGACCACCACCATAACCATTTGATTTCTTATGTTTTTTCCTATTGTGAAATGTTGAATCATCAGCCAAAATTACGTTTCTACCCCTGCTAAAGCTAGACATTCTTTCAAATGCCTTGTTTACAAGATCACTCCCTTCTGAAGCCGAAGTTGGAGTTGTTGGTATAGAATCCACAAACGACCATAAAGCTGATGAAAACCACGAACCCGTGTCATTGCCATTGTCCAAGTCATTTTCAGGACATTGATTTACATAAAATTTGGAATTCACTTCGATTATTACACCTAGGAAAATCACGCAAAATAGAAAAAGAAAAAAAATTGTGTAATCAACTATTGACTACATATTATATATGTAATATGTCGGATGAGGAGCTCTTAAAAAGCATGGTCTTGAACTCCCCGAGAAAAGCTCAGAGTTCTCATGTCATTGGCATCTAGACACAAGCTCTTAAAATGTTAGAGCATATCATCCATAAATGCAAGAAATAGCAACCTACTTTCATTTATTTCTTCATTATTTAATTATAGCATCCTACTTTCAACCTTCTTTCTTTTAGAAAGCTCTTCCCAACATTTTACCACATTACCCTTTACTCTAAATAATCACTTAAAGATTAATGAAATTTATTTTTATGTGTGAGGTAAGAACAAATGTATCTTTATTTGAGAAGGGTAAAGTGATCATTTACTCAAACTTAGACATTCATTCGATCTAAAAACAGAAACAGTCTCACTTACTCAATGGGTGTTTCGTTTGGACTTGATGCAAAAAGAATCACTTAGAAGGTAAAGTGTGGCAAAAGATCTTTTTCCCATAAAGTTTCAACTTTTTTACAAAAATTTCAAACATTATTTATCATGTTTAATGGGAATAAAAAAAAGAAAAAGGCCCTGAGTACCTGATGATGGATGAGAAATAGCTTGTTGAGTTGTTTGAGTAGTTGTGATGCTGTTATCTCCATGATTGTTGTAATCCCACAAATCACAACTTATTTGAAATTCATCATTACCATGATTCAAAACTTCACTCCCAAGACCCGAGTTTTCAGGTCCATACTCCACAAACCCTGAAATCAATTCATGGTAGAAATCGAATTCCGCCAAAGACCCAAACTCCGGAATGGAATCGGTAATTCCGGTTTGTGGACCAACCAAATCATCCATTTCAAGAAAATCTTTCAAATCACAACTATTCCCAGTCTCTTCCACTTCCGGGACCTGAGGAAGAATCTCTGGTTCATCAATAATTTTGTTCAAAAACTCAACAATATCATTTGTAAACACATTCTCCTCTTCTTGTCGCAAAATTTTCACATCATTCACCGGAACCGGAATCAGATTCCGTTTTTGTACCAAAAAAGCATCAACATCCACACAATCTTCATCATTCCATTCCTCCTCGACAAATGGAGCCCCGTATTGCTCCCCGTTTTTGGGTCAGGGCACGCTTTTCTTAAAGATTTTGTAAAGGACATAGTGTTCTTGGGTAAACGAGCATCTTTTGAGCTCCAATCGGTTCGTCTGCCTGAAGGTGCCCGACCTTGGTAATAGAAATTGGCTTAAAAAATAGTGTTTTCGAAGCGACTTGCAGCAAATTACAAGAAATTGGATTAAAAAGAAACTCAAAAAACTTCTGACCAACAACAATTGACTTTGAAAATATGGAAATTCTAGAACGGTGTAGATACAAACCTTAAAGTGTATCAAGGGTGAGCTTTCAGTAGGATAGAGAAGGCGAATGGAGATATCGATGGGAAGAGCTGGTATATATTACCTGATAAACTTATAAAAGACATTTAAAATACAATTCATTCGTATATTACATTTAAAATAAAATTCATTCGTATATTTTGTATATTTTGTATATTTTGCATCAAATATTATGTATCAAAAATAAAAATATTTAAGGTCAAAGTTGAAGAATAAAGATTTCAAAAGTCAAATGTGGACAATTAATTTGGGACAGAGGTAGTAATAAAATTTCTATAGGTATTTTGGGTGAGCGGGAATTAAAATTTAGGGAAAGCGGGAATGAACTTTTAGCAAGCAACGGGAATGAAAATTTATATGCGACTAAAAGTCAGAATACAGTGTCACAAAAATTTTGTGTCAGAGTGGCACAAAAATTTTATGCCACTAAAAAATTGTGTCATTATATGTAAATTTTATTTGTAGTGTTCTTTGATTGGTTTGCGTATAAGAAACTTGATCACATAAGAGAGAGTGGTCTTTTCTCACTAAGCATTAAGCTTTCCGGTCATTTATGTTGGGATAAAAGCGAATAAAAAACCTACTCTCAGAGATAGTATGATTTTTTACATTGCATTCAATGTTAAGTGTTTGACGGGTCAAATACAATGATTGGTTTATGTTTAATTAATGACATTACAGTAATATATTTACATCCCGGTAAGGGGCCACCACACTTAGGAAATCATCAATCTCTCTTGTCAAAGCCTCTTTCTTGTCCAAATCCAATCTATGGGGTTTATTGGTTTAAGACATTACAAAAAAGGGGTAAAAGAAGAAGATAATTAAGGTTTTTCAGTATGTTTGTGTGTGTATATGAGAGAGAGAGAGAAATCGTTGTTTTATGTTTACTTTTTGAGTTGTCGGGGAAGGAATGAATCGTAAGTGGCCCATTCAAATTTATAAAACTCAAATGATAATTAAAACAAAAATATATATGTTTTAGGGTAAAATAGTCACATAAAAATGTATGATGGGGACTAAAATTGAAACAAAATGAAATTACTATGCGTGTCATTTTATATTTGAAAAAGGTGCAGTGGATTTGATTAAAAAAACTACATAATCATGTGGACCAAAAAGGTAATTTTCTCTAAAATGAAATTGGTATGATCGATAAATTAGCTTTGTGAAAAGATATGTTAAGGTTTTTATATGTTGATGTGTGAAAAAACTCAAAAAGTGGATTTGATTACAAAAAAACTTTAAAAGTGTACGAGTCTTATTGCTATAAGATACATTGACTTTCAGAAATTAATTGGACGTGTTTTAAAACTTCAAGTTCGTCAACCATGACATATACAAAAGGAATAAATACGTATATAATAAAAGGGAATTGTTTTCATCCATTGACAGAATACGAAACCGACAAACAACTCAGACACAAAAAGTGGATTGATCGTATCAGATGGTCCAACCATAATAATATTATAAATATAAGGATTGAATTATGCATGCGCAACTTGTAATATAAGAAACCCATTGAGCTACTTACATTTGACTTCAAAAGATTGTAAACATCAAATGATGATGAGAGAAATAATCCTTCTCCTCCTCTTCTGTTCCTTGATCGAATCATCAGCTTCAAAGAACACCATTAAAGATCATCTTCAGAGGGGTTCCTCTCTATCTGTTAATGATGATTCCAACGTGATAAGGTCCCCAGACAACACTTACACCTGTGGCTTCTATGGCTTCCAAAGCAATGCTTATTGGTTCGCAATTTGGTTCACAAACTCCAAAGAGCGCACAGTGGTCTGGACTGCCAACCGCAACACACCTGTGAATGGCCGTGGATCAAAGCTGACATTTAGGAAAAACGGAGCCATGGTTTTGACAGATGTGGATGGCATGGTCGTGTGGGAAACAAACACAACCTCCACAGATGTAAATAGAGCAGTGCTGCTGAATACAGGTAATCTGGTATTGAAGAACCAAAAAGGTCAGATTCTTTGGCAAAGTTTTGATTATCCAACTGATACTCTTTTGCCTTCTCAAACACTAACAAAGAGCAAAAGCTTGATATCTACCTCCAAAAAAGGAAGTTTTGAATCTGGGTATTTTGGTTTAAGCTTTAATAGTATTAACGTTTTAATATTGACTTATGATGGCCCAGAAATATCAAGTGTCTACTGGCCTAGTCCTGATCCTGGTTTTAATGTTTGGAAGTTTGGAAGAACCTCGTATAACAGCAGCAGAATGGCCGTTTTTAACGATGTGGGTGCATTTAACTCGAGCGATTGGTGGCACTTTAGTGCTTCAGATATGGGTTTGGGGATTAAAAGGAGGCTAGTAATGGACTACGATGGTAATCTCAGAATTTATAGCTTGAACGAGTCAACTGGTTTATGGTCGATTTCATGGCAAGCTATTGCACAGCCTTGTAATATCCATGGAATCTGTGGGAGAAACGGGATTTGTGTTCATGGAGTACCACCGGAATGTTCATGTCCACCTGGTCATAAATGGACTGACCCTAATGATTTTAGTCAGGGTTGTAAGCCTACTTTCGATCGAACATGTGTAAGTGTAAACTCAACAAAGTTTGGATTTTTGGAACTGCGGAATACAGATTACTATGGGTTTGATCTAAATTTTTCTACACCCATTTCGTTCGAAGCTTGTAGGGACATCTGTTTGGGAGATTGTAGATGTGAAGCATTTAATTACAGGCTAACAGGTGAAGCTTTTTGCTTTACAAAAAGTGCTCTTTTCAATGGCTATAGATATCCTACTTTCCCAGGAACCATTTATTTGAAAGTACCAATTGGCATGGAAACAACAGATTCTGCCTTACTCCTTGCTACTTCTATGGCCACATGTCCCGAGGTAACAGTTATGGTGGGTTCTCCATCTATGTATCAATCATCTGGCAAAAAGGTGAAATGGGTTTATCCTTTCTCCTTCGTTATAGGTATTGGTGTGGTTGAAGCTTTGGTTATCTTTTTAGGGTGGTGGATTTTCTTTAAGAAAAATGCCATCCTAACCAACTTAGAAGAGGGGTATCGTATGGTATCAAGTCAGTTTAGGGGGTTTACTTATCAAGAACTGGTGAAGGCGACACAAAACTTTAAGGTGGAGATAGGGAGAGGAGGCTCAGGGACTGTGTATAAAGGGGTTCTGGAAGATGAAAGGGTGGTGGCTGTGAAAAGGTTAAGAGATGTGAGCGAAGGTGGAGAGTTTTGGGCAGAAGTGAGCACAATCAGTAAAATCAACCACATGAACTTGGTGCGAATGTGGGGTTTATGTTCACAGAAACAACACAGACTTATAGTTTATGAGTACGTGGAAAATCTTTCTCTTGACCAGAGATTGTTCTCCTCGAGTTTTCTTCAATGGAAAGAAAGGTTCAAAGTTGCCATAGGAGTAGCAAAAGGTTTAGCTTATTTACACCATGAGTGCCTAGAATGGGTGATTCATTGTGATGTTAAGCCAGAAAACATTCTTTTAGATGACTCATTCGAACCAAAGATTGCAGATTTTGGTCTGGCAAAGTTGACTCAGAGAGGTGGTCAAAGCTCGGAGTTTACCAGGATCAGAGGGACAAAAGGATATATGGCTCCAGAATGGGCTAGCAACCTTCCTATCACAGCAAAAGTTGATGTCTACAGCTATGGGGTTTTGGTTTTAGAAATGGCAAGGGGAATTCGACTTTCTAATATGATTATGCAGGAAGGAGAAAAGGAGGAATCGGAGCTTATGAGGTTTGTAAGGATAACGAAAACGAAGCTTCAAGGAGAAGAAATGGAGTCATGGATTGAAGAGATAATTGATTCGAGGTTGGGAGGATTGTTTAGTAGGAAGCAAGCTGTAAAACTTGTTGAGTTTGGTGTAAGTTGTGTGGAGGAAGACAGAAATAAAAGGCCTACAATGGGTTCAGTTGTACAAGTTCTAATTGATTGTGATCAGTCAGAGTAGATGTGCTATGAGGCATAGGACTTCGTTGTCAGAGTAGATGTGCTATGAGGCATAGGACTTCGTTGTTTTCGAAAAAAAAAAGTTCAATAATAGAGCAAGTGGATATGAGGAATTGAAAAAAGAGACGTGTAGCATGATTTTATGGTTGTAACTTGTATATTTGTAGCATGATTTTATGGTTGTAACTTGTATATTTGTAGCATGATCACAAAAGATACTTCACTACTTAATCGTAAATAAATTGGCAATTGTTAATTAATTAGTTCATACAATCATACTAAAGATCAAATTCTCTAATTAAGTTAGTTATGTTGTGGCATTGATATTATTTTACATAAAATTTAATGCACGGAGAGAGCTTGAAAATGAAGTGGTCCATTGACTTACAACATGTATGGTTGGGTCTTGGGGAAGGCATGTTACATGCTTATTATTACTTTTTTTAAACATTTAATTTGTTTATTGTTCCGTTTTTTTATCAAACACAAAAATTGTAAAGCACTCAAATCTAATAGAAAACGTTCAAATTTCATACAAAGATATTCAACTCTAATATAAATTATCAATCAATGTTACATTACCAAAACATTCAAAGTTCAATAGAAAATTAGTCAAAGTTAACAAAATCCAAACTAATTATCTTAGCTAAAACTTTGCTCATCATTATTCTCGTCATTTGCTTGATGGATGGATTGAATTGGACTCACGAGGGATGAAAGTGGAATTGTGTTGGTGGTGTCGTAGTTGGGATTCCCAACCATGACCATCGACCCTTAATCAAATTGTTAGTGCAAATATTCTGTAAATTATTGAATCTATTGATGAATCATTGCAAGTAATTATGTATTTTTGTTGCTTCTGTGTGTGCATGTGAAGTGGTTGTACTCGGAATGTAACAGGTGATTACACTTTTAAAATTCAACCCTAACTTCACCTTTAGTCTCTTTATATTTTCAAAAATCTAAGCCATATACTTGGCCTCAAATCATGTTCAACTCCCTCTCATGTAGATTATAAGACTTTCCAAAGATAGAAGATGGTTGTCAAATCATCCCAAGTTGTCTTGGTCAGCCCATGCTAACTATGTCCTTAACGCAAAACTTATTTAGCTCACAAAACCACGTATAATACTATCAATATAAAAAGATTAAAAGGAATGTTAAAATATATAATGTTGTTGGGTATCATGCAGTTTTTACTGTCGGCATACTGATTTGGCAGTCTTTACCAACGGTAAACACCACCCCTCACCCAAATATTTTGCTAGCGGTAATCTTCAATGGTACATTTCCACCATGCTCTCTCTCTCTCTCTCTCTCTCTCTCTTTTCATTTTATACAAACACCACACCTTAACTATTTTTAAAATTGACAAATATATCTCCATCAGCCTAGATGACACATATTACCAGTGGTATGACATTGTTTAGTTTAAAAAGGGTAATACTATCATTTCACATCCATGTAACGGCAGATTGGTAACAACATCTAGCGTCGGGACCATGGATAAAATAAATAGAAACTCAAAGGACAGTCCAAGTAAGGGGTTGTTTGATAGTTGCTGATTGGGTTAGAGCTGACTGAGTTAGAAGCTGACTGAGTTAGAAATGTTGACTGAGTCCACATCTGACTAAATTTATGTTGTTTGATTATTTATCTGAGTGATTGTGCTGAATGATAAAAATGACCATATTATCCTTATGTTGTCCTTTTGTGCTGGATAAAATAATTATAAAAATAAAAATTATCACATAAAATCCAAAACAAACATACATAATTTAAAATCCAAATACAAAGTGTAATGCAAAACCCAAATAAACACTGTCAAACATAATAAAAAGTATATTATTTAACGTGAACCATTTGAAAGTAACTGATTAGCAATCTGGTCACGCAAAGTAGTCATATACTCAATGGCTTCTGAACCCCATTCTATGTCTTGTATGTTTTGGCCCTCACTTCCTCCACCTCCCACATTAGGAGTAACCATAGTGTTTTGTTCAAAGTTCGTAAATAGGTCATCTTGAATATCGTATTTCTTTATAAAATTATGGACCGCGACACAGGCAATAACTATGTCTCTTTGCACTGGAAAAGGATACGGAGCCATACGTTTTAAAATTAGAAATCTCGCCTTCAGTACACCATAAGCACGTTCAATGATATTTCTAAGTTGTGCATGAGCATGATTGAACCTTTCTTCCTTAGTTAAAGCTCTGTTTCTTCGAAAATCGGCTAACCAATACCTAGTATTGCGGTAAGGAGCCATAAATCCACGGGTGTTGGTGTATGCGACATCACAAAGGTAATATTTATATGTAGATGGGTGACAAATTAATCATATAAATAATATAGATAATAAAACTTATAGAATAAATCCAGAAGTCGGATTAAATGCAACTTCTTTCAAAATCTTAGAATCGTGTGCTACGCCCTCCCATCCAGCCAGGTTTGTCATTATTCTATAAGTTTTATTATCTATATTATTTATATGATTAATTTGTCACCCATCTACAGATAAATATTACCTTTGTGATGCCGATTACACCAACACCCGTGGATTTATGGCTCCTTACCGCAATATTAGGTATTGGTTAGCCGATTTTCGAAGAAACAAAGCTTTAACTAAGGAAGAAAGGTTCAATCATGCTCATGCACAACTTAGAAATATCATTGAACGTGCTTATGGTGTACTGAATGCGAGATTTCCAATTTTAAAACGTATGGCTCCGTATCCTTTTCCAGTGCAAAGAGACATAGTTATTGTCTGTGTCGCGGTCCATAATTTTATAAAGAAATACGATATTCAAGATGACCTATTTACGAACTTTGAACAAAACACTATGGTTACTCCTAATGTGGGAGGTGGAGGAAGTGAGGGCCAAAACATACAAGGCATATATGACTACTTTGCGTGACCAGATTGCTAATCAGTTACTTTCAAATGGTTCACGTTAAATGATATACTTTTTTATTATGTTTGACAGTGTGTATTTGGGTTTTGCATTACACTTTGTATTTGGATTTTAAATTATGTATGTTTATTTTGGATTTTATGTGATAATTTTTATTTTTATAATTATTTTATCCAGCACAAAAGGACAACATAAGGATAATATGATCATTTTTATCATTCAGCACAATCACTCAGATAAATAATCAAACAACATAAATTTAGTCAGATGTGGACTCAGTCAGCATTTCTTACTCAGTCAGCTTCTAACTCAGTCAGCTCTAACCCAATCAGCAACTATCAAACGACCCCTAAGGAATAAATAAATGTTTAACATGTTATGCAAATATATACACATATTTGCACACATAAACACAAATATATATATATATATATATATATATATATATATATATATATATATATATACACACAAATTTGCCCACATATACACAACTATATATATATATATACATATACACATGTACACAAATACTCAGAAATAGGTCATATTTATAAATATAAAAAATTATTAAAAGATAAAATAAAATTGTTATTAAGATGAAAAGAAACAAAATGATAAAAAAAATAATAATTCATCAAAAATAATAAATTGTTAATTTATAGTAAAAAAAAAATACCACACTCTAGTGTCTTGAATGTTTCAAGAAATATTTAGAATAAAAATAAAAATCATATATTTATAAAAGTAACATCACCAACATAAACCTGCTGCCTTAGATTCACACTACTATTGTACGAATTGCATGTTTCCAACATTCACTTTCTGCATATTATTTTCAAAACAACAAAGATATATGGTTACACAACCACTTGAGTTATATATCATTTTCAAAGTCACTCTACTAATTAATGTATGGGTGTTAAAGTTTAGAATTCATGACAACTTGTGTTTTTCAAGAGCTTGCTTATGCACCAATTAATGTATGGGTGTTAAAGTCACTCTACTAATTAATTATTCTGACACCACCATAATTTCATATGCACCAATTTTGCTTTTTGAAGATATACAGTAATTAATCAAAAAAAAATTCACTTTTTGTTTTCAAGAATTAGGAAATAACATGCATGCTCCCATGGAAATTTTAAGAATCAACAATATGAAAAACAAGGACAAAAAATAGATTTTGGACATGAAAATCAAGAACATGAAAAACATGGAAATTTTAAGAATCAATATATTGTGGACAGTTTTGCCCCTGATTATGAATGCAGAAAAAATAAGGACAAAACAAGATAAACAAACCCGTTGATCAAGAACATGAAAAACATTGAAATTTTAACAATCAATAAATTATGGACAGTTTTGCCCCTGCTTATGAATGCAGAAAAAAAAGGATAAAAAATGAAAAAGAAACCTGTTGTTGGTTGATGCTGTTGCTGCTGATCGAAGTTGCTGCTATTGATTGCTGCTTTCCTGCTGTTGGTCGCTGCTTTGCTTCTTTGGATCGCTAATTCGTCACAGGGAGGTTAACAGGGAAGGGAAATAGGGCATCGACAGCTTTGATTTTTTACTCGGTCCATTAAGTTTAAAGCAAGGACCGAGTCCTCTATTTTCATTGGACCGAGTCCCGTAATCTATAATCAATATCAAACGTGCTAATTGGTATTTTATGGACCCAGTCCCGCTTTGGACCCGGTTAGATAGCATATCAAACGACCCCTAAAACAATAGTCTTAAGGACGAAATCCATAACCAGTAACATACCTAAGGGACGAAACATGTAATTTATTCTAAATTAGTACAATTTTTTTCTATGAAAGGAAAAAGGAAAATAGTGCATACGAATGAGCAGCTGTAAGCGGCTACAGTTACTCAACTCTCACATTTCCGGTGCTCCCCAACAGTCTTCTGCGATGGCGTCTGAGAAAGACGCAGCTCTTGCTGCCGTTGCCTCCGACTCTCCCACCATGTACACTCTTCCTCTGCCACTATTTACTCATCTGTTAGTGCTGGATGATTATCCACATAAAGTTTTGATCTATATCGTTTCGTTGTTGTCGTTGGCTTATCTATGGCTTTCCGT